AGATTTCCAAAGTACTTCAGCTCAGCCTCGCAAGCAAATTCTTAAAATCTACGTTAGGAGAGCTGGAAAAACAGTTTTTTAAAAAAATAATTTCATGAGTAGAATAATATTCATGCTAACCTTGAATTTAAAATAATTTAATAAAATCTTGAACTTATACATAATATTTGATAGTTTATGCATGATTTAGTGTATTCTTTTAACAACAGCTAAAATGACAATATTATCAATTTCTTTACTTTCATGATCTATTTTTCACAGTGTGGCTTTATAGACTTCAGTCTCTGGCAATCCATTATTTTATATTTCTATTTTAAACTTGTATTTGTCCGAATCAAATATCTTTCATTCTTATCTCAATTTGTTTCTAAATTCTTTATGTACCTTTAGCTAATTTAATGTATAACAACATAATAGTGCACCTAACTGAAATTCAGTATGTACTAGCAAAATTACCTTCAAAAAAGAATATTGGGTTATTAACAGTATATTTCTATAGAAGCAAGCTTGAAGAACCAAAACTAATAAGTACTAAAAGCAACTGGTTAATTTTGTTGTATTCAGTCTTTCTTCATCTTTTACCTCATAGTTAAAATTGTAAAAGACTTTTTAGATTGCAATAATGAAAAATAAATACACTTACACAGTTGGCTTAACTGATACTCAGTCCGTATCTCCTATATAACAAACATGCATTTGAAAGAGAGAGTAACTTACCTTGTACCTATCTTAAGGGCAGTAATAATGATTAAAAAGTCAACTCCTACACTAGAAATATTATCATTTAACTGCTAATTGACACTTTCTCTTGCCATGAAGCTTTTTTACAGAATCCTAAGAGAACTACAGCTAAAAAAAAAAAAACCCCAAATTCGCATTTTTTCATCTTAAAAGTAGGTTCCACCAGTTCACATAATCATGTAACATCTGAAACGTTCTTGCACTCCACCAGACCTTTTCTAGAAGCTTAGCCTACTGAGTATCGACTAAACACCAACAGAAGGACCGCTCCTATAGTGCTGTAACATTCACACCAACATGTAACATCTATTGGAGCTGCTGTTTCAGGCCTGATTGCACAGATATTACCATGGAAAAAGTTGCGGGGTTTTTTATATAAAAATGAAAGAAGCTTTACTTTCACGCACATAGGAAATTACTGCTTACAAGTATTTTAAGCAAGAAATCATGGAAGTTAATTCACTAACGTATTCCTATAAGGAATAAACATTTCTGTTAAATGAAGGTAATGTAGATTGTGACTAAAATACAGTTAAGCATTGGAAAG